TGTACAAAGCTAATCTGAATCTGTAGAAACTAATCAGTGTTTTTTCACACTCATACAACGATGGGACACAAATTGGAGGCAATGAGTGGTTCAGTATCTTGCCCAGGGACACTTCAACATGTGACTGCTGGTGGAATCGAACCCCCAACTCTTGCATTGGAGGACAACTGCTCTAAGCACTCAGACCCAGCCACCCTTCATTTAACCTTATAATTGTGAAATTGTCAGTAAAAAAAATCAAAGATGACTAACCCATTCAAGTCCTCTTCCACGTCTGTTTAGCATCAGTCCTTAACTCAAGTTTTTTTTTCTATTTGTAATAGTTGATACCACTACACTTCAACAGCACAAAACAAGAGAGGGTTTGAAGTTTTTACAAATCTGTCAACCACCTTTAAAAATAAGAGACGAAAAAATAATTTTACCTTCATGTTCATTGTCTAAATCGATGTAATCCTCCGAATCTTCACTGTATGGGGTGTCAGCTAAAAGGTATTTAGATTCATTAATACAGATTTGTTGAAATGCATCTCAAGCACAACACCTTTAGCTGAAGAAATATTACAATGCTGAAAACTAGACATGCACGGACAGACTACACATGTTTTTAACACTATCAGCTACATCATTGTTTTAGTCACACGAACCACATCTATTTTGGCTATTTTAATGGAGAATCTAAAGAAGACAACACAGCTCTTATATTTTTAGTTGGTAATTGCCCACTGCTTGAAAGCTAGTTTATTAAAACACTAAGTATTAAAGAAAAATCATTCATCCAACTGAGGTCGAAAATTAAAATATTACAACTGGAAACAAGGGTGAACTTTATATTTTCAAAGAGGTCAAAAGTCAGTCCACAAACTTATATTTGGGATTTATAGCTTGCAGTGAGCAAAAACAAACTGACCCTATGTCAAATAATACATCTATTAGTTTAGTGACATTACAGGATTCTAAATGGACCAACCCTGGGTTTAACCTAAAAAACAAGTCTGATTGTTTCTTCAATGATCTACTGTGTTTACCATCCAAGTCCAGACAGCCATCTGTTGTAGTGTGTGAATATATAAAAAAGAAGTTATTCTTTAATGAACTCTGAGATTTTCAAGAAAGTCCTGTTAAAAAAAAAAAGTATAAATATCACACAAACACATTTCTCTGAAATTATACTACAACATTTTGTTAACAAGTACTGTAGGGTAGACAATTACTGTAGGACTACCAATAAAATAAAAAAAACAAGGAAGGTCTTCATTAGAGTTTTAAGCATTTTTTCCTTTCCGGCAAACAACTTTCTAACCCATAACTTGTCAGTTTTTTCTCTTTTAACAGTAAGGTATTAACGGTGAAAAAACTAAGAAGGAAAATATTTCTTTCTGTATTTTGGGTAATACCAAACAACGTTCGAGTTACTATGTGAATATATATATGTATATGCGCTGAGCATAGACTGTGTTTATCCCGATAGACACAGTTTGTTGGATGTACATTCTCAGCCTCAGCATCATCTGCATAAACACAATCTAAGCTCAGCAGACATATTTGTCTAGTACAGTGATATGATTGTTATTTGGGTGAGAAAACAAGTGAAAGACTAAATAAATGCATAATGCAAAAGTGTACAAACTTATACTTAGCTAATATGGTGATGTTCCACAATTATGTCATTTTTGAGAAAGATGTTATATAAATCTGAAAAATGGTTTTAAAATGGGTCCTCGTTTGGCTAGCCTTTAGCCTAGCATGGACAAAGACTTCTGTTCTTTACACAAACTTGGTACTCTATGACTGATGTCACAGCTGATACTAACTACTGATCACTATCTGACAAAACATCACTTCAAAAATCAGACTATCCCTTTAACTGTCATTTTAAAAAATAACAGTTGTTTTGTGTTTAAAACTTTACTGATAATTTATAATTTGGTTCAATCAAATTACCTAGATATTTCCAAACTTCAGGTAAATGTCACAGAAAAAGATTAAATTTTATGAAAAAATAACCCATGAAGTCAAACTGTTGTCAAAAGTTTTAAGAGGTTAAATAAATAAAAACTTTTTATTAAAATAAAACAGTTTTAGCATTTCTTCTGGCTAAAATGTTCATGGAGTCAAAATGAAATAAATCCATCCATCCATTTTCTTTACCCGTTTGTTCCATTTTGGGTCACGGGGGTCGCTGGTGCCCATGTCCAGCAATCACTGTGCGAGGGGCGGGGTACACCCTGGACGGGTCGCAAGTCCATCACAGGGCCACATAGAGACAAACGAGACAAACAACCATTCACTCTCTCACTCACACCTAGGGACAATTTAGAGTTACCAATCAGCCTAACATGCATGTTTTTGGTCTGTGGGAGGAAACCGGAGTACCCGGAGAAAACCCACGCATGCACGGAGAGAACATGCAAACTCCACCCAGAAAGGCCCCTGGACCGGGGTTTTGAACCAGGGACCTGCTCGCTGAGAGGCAGCAGCTCTACCAGTTGCGCCACCGTGCTGCCCAAATGAAATAAATATTGCAGTTAATTTCTTGTTTGCTTCGCTTTTACAAACAATAAAATGGGACCAATAAATGTATTAAACAGCAGATTTTATTTTGCTAAATGGTTACTTAATTTAATGGATACCTGTGGTATTTTAACAAAAGCATGTGACAGACATTTCATTTACTTTCTAAATAAAAACATAAAGTGTGGAGAAAAAGACTAAATTTTACTGTATGTTGAATTTGTATACTTCTGTACAGATCAATCCTAATCCAAATATGAGACACCCACAAACAGACAAATCATGTGGTCAGATTTACCCAGTCTGATTTCATTGTAGAGAGGCTCCTCTGGTGTAGCTGGTGATAAACAGTTGAAAGGACATCAACGAGAAAAACACAGATGAGTTTTTAAATGGCTCTGTGCTTAGGGGGTTGGGCGTGGGGCAAAATATTATAAACTACTTTAGACTTGAGGGCCTCTGGAACTCCTAATGTCTTTAGATGTGTTATATTTTACTGACATCTCAACCAACTTGCACTATCAGTATGACCAATGAAAGGTCAAGGGAATAGCACTGCTTATCTTCTCAAAACACTTTTCTGTAAACATTTATTCAAGACAACTGCAGGCTTCACTGACATATTTTACATTTTTCTTAGAAAAAAAGTGCTCTATCTCCCATAGTGAGGAGCCCTACCAGAAAAAACATGGACCAGATTTAGCGTATCGAGATCTTCATTATCCATTCCGTAAAACGTGTTTTCTCTACCTGTCTCTGGGATCTTATAGAATAAAATTAACCAAAATGTGTTTGTTTATCAAAACAAGACTTTTACATAGAGTCTGACCTACCAGGGCCTTAAATTGCTCAACAACAAGATAACAGTAATGCATTTTCCAGTTTATATCCCACAACTACAGAGGTGTGGTAAATGCAAGCTAGCACTGGTTATGATGGTCAGTGTGGCATAACAAGGCCAGATGGTTTACTTGGCCGGATCATGATTTTGGCAGCCATGATATTGTAAGCTTGTTTCCTGTATGTGTCAACATAAGAGAACTGCAAAATGCAGGGTGTTCATGTTAGAGGCAAGGGTTTGAATTCAGTTGCACTGACAAAAAAAACAAAAAAAAAACACTTGAAAGCAGATACATTCAATAGTTGGAGGCATAATGGGCTGCTGTTGAGTCATCTGTCTTACAAAAATAATTGTCACATCAGGAAGCGTCACTGTTTCAGACAAGACAGTAATATTTGGTTTTCTTCAAGAAAACAAGAGCCTGAATAGCAGAGTTTGATTGGTTATAATCTGGTTTTGTACTTATTCTGCAAATGACAGCATTATTTTACATGAAACAGACAAAATGCAACAATAAAACCTACAATAGGAGGTATCCTGATAGACATAGAAGATAAGTAAATGATTATTTATATTTTGCAAATCCAAATTGAAATTCCAAATAGACCCTTAAGCTGTACTTCCTGTCCCTCTGTATTTCTGAAAGGAACAGAAGAGGTCTCAGCATGTGTGTAGCCACTTTCTCTCAAGCCTTTCTTAGGACATGAGGGAACTGTTTCCATTAGGTAAATGTGGATTTGATCCTTGGTGATGCATGTGAAGTGGCAGATTGTAGGGTGTGGGGTCAACATAGAACTGGGTGTCTGTAGAGAGGTGATAAGAGGTAAGGGGAGTGAGAAAATCAGTTTCAGCAAGGAAGCACTCTAAGCAAGCAAAAAAAAAAAAAAAAAACATATGTATGCATATCAACAACCAAGAGTACACAGGACCTGTTTTAATTTACAAGCCTTCTCCAATGGTTTAGTTTGTAGTGAGAGTGCACACAACTCTGAAGTGGATATAAACATAACATGAAATAACTGCTTCATTGTACGTTTAGGGATAACACACTGAGGAGTGGTAAAGGTTCATGTTGAAAGAGTATTTTGAAGTTACCTTCTACGTCATTACAGTCAAAGTCTGGAGTGAAGCATGGATGGAGACAAAAGCACACACAGACACATGAAAGCAAAGCAAATGCAAACTGTGCGGAAAACAGCACATTTAAACTGTCAATAAAATAAGAATTCACAATGTAAACCTCAAACAGCTGTGACACGACTTGGATAGCAACCTAGCAGCCAACAGAAAAGTGAAGCATTGGTGTGTTCTGTAACTGAGACATATGAGAAAGAAAAACTTGCATTTTCAAATTATGCATTAATTCATTCATTCAACCTTTATTCAGACAGATAAATCACATTGAGCCTTGGAGACTCAATTACAAGTGAGACCTGTTTGCAGCAACTATCATGTAAGCCACAAGATGTAATGAAGGTTCCAGGAGATCACTAGAACGGATGATGAACAATAGCATGAAAGCTACAAAATGTATGACGGTAACACTGGAAATGGAAAACATGGATAATTGCAATGCTGAATTGAGTGAGGTAAACAAATCCAGTCAAGAATGAAACAGCATCAAAAATGACAACAGACAACATACCTTTGACCCGTTCCCCACGATTGAGCTGGATCTCTCCCTCCCCCTGCGGGGTGTAGGGCTTGACCACAATAAAGGTACGTCCTGGGACAGCGCTGTAGAGTTTCCGTTTGGGCCTACGGGGACCTATCAGTGCTGGAGGGGTGTGATGAGGTGGGCTTGGGTCCCGCTGCACTGAGCCAGGGCTGTAAACAAACACATACGTTACTGTGGTGATTCCAGGGAGCTGATAACCGAAGCCCGTTGTCACCGACATGGTGAGTGGGACAGCGACCTGGTGACAACCCCTGGTTGTTATGGTTGCCAAGGAGGGATTCATACAGAAGCCCAAATACCTGCCAGTCAACAGTCAGTGATCCACTGGAAAGTCATGAGAGGAGAGTGAACTCCTTCCAACCACTCTTTTCCTTTCACTGTTCTTTCTTCAACATCAAAGACAATGTCCTTCTTCTCCTTTACCCTCTCCTTTTATCTGGACCCTCTCTAGCTCGCATCCTATTCGAGGTAGAAGAAGAAATATGTATATGTAAAAGGACCAGTCCAGTTTTCTTTCCTCTGTGGATCTATCAGGTCCGAGTGGAAGTGCCCCTTAGTCAAACACATCCTGAGTTTGGGTACTAGCAGAAGTCCTTTCTAGAGAAAAAAAGAAATTCCCAGTACACCGTCCCCTCCAGCTGCTTCAGGCTGAGCTACAGATCTTGCCTCGTCCTTTGGTCCTGGTTCTCCTGATGTGGAGGAGAGGTTAGGTCTGCTCCCAAACTCCCGCTCCCTCTCCCAGGAGTCCCACGGCGTCGTTTCTCCTCTCCCCTACACCCCTCGCACATATGCTCACTCACACTCACACACTCTCTGCTGCTGCTGCTGTGCTCCGTGGCTGCCCTCCGTTTTGACGGCTCACTCACACTCACACACCACAAGCCCTCTATGTGCATTCTAGCTGTGCACACAGGCACAAACACAGACAGCCCCCTCCACTCATGCTAACATTGCACCTTCAAAAGCATGGTGTGCGCCGCCACTAGCATGTCGCTAACACGTCGCTGGCACAAACAAGCCCTGGAACACGATTGATCTCCTTCTGCCTGTCTGTCTGAGATCGTGCATGCGCCATAGCTCCCTGAGGCAGGCTGTGAGAGTATGTGTGTGTGTGCGTCTGCATGTACACTTGTGTGCAGCTGGCAAGCGCATGGGGGTGGAGGGTGGGGAAAGTGCAAGAGCTCCAGCCCATTTGGTTTAATTGTCGCTCCTGACTCATTCTCTTTGCCTTGAATCCCTTTCATCTCTACCTCTCTCACTTACTTCCATTTCACCCTTACTTTCTACTCCCTCTCTACATTTCTCCACACTGCATCTTCGTTCTCTTTCCTTCTTTCTCTCTAGCGATGAATTCTAATACAGCAGCAGAGCTCCGCCTAGTCTTCATTCATCATCACCGCTTCTTTGCAAGTTGCATTCAGCATCATTCTACTGCTGGTGTTGTGAAAGGTTTTTTCTCAAGCACCTTTTAAATGCATATCAAAAACACATGTAATACTCAGATATTAATCAAATACATATTTAATAAAAACATGTGCTATTGTTATTGCTGACCTGATTTGAAAACTGCATTTGTCTTCAACACAAAAACAAACAGCAAATTATAAATTTATCGATTCGGCCGATCACAGTCTTACCTCGTTTTTTTCTTTCAAAACCCTTCTGCCATTTTTCTGCTAATTTTATAATATTTATGTTACAACAGCTTTATTTCTTTCTTTTACACTTTCCTTACCTTTTCCAGCCAACTACTTTGCCCCTTTACAACAGCCGTTAGCTGATGACTTTCAAATTACCAAAGGATCAAGATCTAGTATATTAATGTCTAAATCAAAGTGTAGAACATCAGCAGCCACATATCAAGTAGTGAGGGGGTTAGGGCAGCCAAAAGATGAATATACACCTTTTAAATAGTTTATTAGATACACTTTTGTAACCACCAATTAGTAGGTCGTTTTGCTGTATACTTTATGTACCTCAGTTCTTTGTAAAAGGGGTTTTTGTTTCAAATTTACACGACAGCACTGAACTGCTGCCCCCAAATTCTGGGAAACAGCTGTGAGAAACAGTAAATAGTTCTATGTATTACTATGAGAACTGATAACTTAAGAAGCTATCTGAGCACAATTAACTATTTTTAGGTATGTTGTACAGTAAAACACCTAGATTGGAAGAGAGATACACATGATTGGAGACAATAGTCCAGTATACAGTACAGGGGAATTAAGTAAAGTTAATATGCTTTAAGATTTTTAATATTCCTCTGCATAAACTGGTTGTAATGAGTGGGTATTTGTGTTGATACTCATCTCTTGCCTTAAACCAATCACATTTTTCTTCTTCTACAATTAAGATACTTTTTTGCATAGACAGATAACTCAGAAAACATATTTCTATCTGAACCCACAGCTGTTAAAATATCAATATTTCACTGAAACAGTAGATAATAACATATGCAAATCAGCTTGTTATGCATAAACAAACATTTAAAGAACTTTAAACAATAATTATTCTATATTATTTTACTTCAGAGTTCACATATTGATCAATTGAAGTTTTAGTGTCTTCAATAAAAAATAACATTCCACACAAAGAGCTAATTCCATTGATTGTTCTTTTAAAACCAGTGGTTCCCAAACATTTGAGCTTCAGACCCACAAAAATGGTAGTGAAAAAAGCTGATGACCCAACAACTTACTGCTTGTTAAAATCCACAAAAATGACTAAAAGCTCTGATAAATAGAAACTGTAACAACAGTTTTAACATAAAAAAATACAATTTCTAGTCACATGACTACAGTTTTCCTGTAGCAAATATCATGAAAATATGCCCTAAGCTGTAATATTTCAAATCAAATAGATGTTTGGAAACCATCTAAAGACCCCCATATGATGTTATATGACCCACATTGAGGTTCTCACATGGACTTTGGAAATCCACTTAAATCACTGTATTTAAATCATAAAATTGTATTGGTTTTAAAATATTGTACATTGGATTAAAAAAAAGAAATTATTTTTTGTGTCTACAAGAAACCTTTAACATCCATCCATCCATCCATCCATCCATCCATCCATCCATCCATCCATCCATCCATCCATCCATCCATCTATCATCCATACATCCATACATACATCCATACATACATCCATACATACATCCATACATACATACATACATACATACATACATCCATACGTACATACATACATACGTACATACATACATACATACATACATACATACATACATACATACATACATACATACATACATACATACATCCTCTTTACCCACTGTTTCCTGAACAGGTAAAGGGGGTCACTGCTGTCCATATCCAGCAGTCACTGTCCATGTTGTGTTGGACTGCTTTTCATATGGAACACTAAACTTAGGTAAATTGTTTAAAGGTATTATAATTACTTCATAGTGCTCTTGCTTATGGTTCAAGCTCTTATTGTTGAGCTTGTCATATATTAATTAATAAATGTAAACAAAGGTTTGACCTAGAATAGATCAAAAATATTTTTTTAAGGATTTTTTTTATTTTTTATGATGTTGCAATTTGGCTTTTTATGTGCAAACAAGTGTGCGTGCATGCCTATTTACTATTAAATAATAAGCTTTTCCTACTTTTATTGCCTGCTTCATTAGGAGTAAATTCAACAAACACAAAATGAAGGGGTCTTTATGTGCACACAAACCACACATATTTTGACAGAGTTGTGATTCAGTTTCTAACAAAACCTCTGATGTTTACTTGAAAATCAGCCCTATTTGTGTAACAGGAACGGTCAAATAAATAATTTGTACCTTTCACACCAATTATTCAGTGCATTAAAATACAAAAAAAAAAAATCATCTCATTTTGCCTCTGTTTTGATCTCACACATTCATGTAATCACAATGACAAAAATAGAACCTATTGTATTTGGTAGCAATAAAATACTTTCAAAACGATATAGGGAGGTGGCTATCACAGTGTATGGAAGAAAAAAAAAAGCCTAACGCACTGACGAAGTCATATAAGTTATGCGTAAGTTTTGAATAAATTACCAGGATGCTGATCTACGATGACACGTGTGTTATATGGTAATGCCAACCAAACATTTTGCACATTCACAAAAGTTTCTCTGTAAACTGACGTGTTGATGATAATTTAGGCTAAGTTACAGGTATGTGACAGGTAAGTTATGCATTTTGATCACACACATTACAGGTAAGTTATTCTTAAGTTGACATGCTATACTTCACTGTGTGACAGGGCCTTTACTGCAATAGTGCAACAAAATCAACAATTTTGTATGAAAGTTTTTTTTTTTCTTTGAATGTGCTCTGAGTAAAAAAAGAAATACTGTAGACACCTCCAGTCTAAAAAGGATTCTGTAAAGGGTGCAGCGTCCTGAAAGCTAATGCATGGACTGGAGAAAAAATGTCAGATTGTGGGCTGTAAAACGCACAAAGTAAGTAGAACAGTCCCAGAACATTTTTATATACAGAGGAAATTAAGCCCTGTTTTATCCATAGCTGTTAATAAAACTATTAGCTGTTACAATCATTGCAAATAAAATCTAATAGTCCATCCATCCATTTACCCGCTTCTTTTTTTCGCTCGCTGAGGCAGCAGCTTTACCAACTGCACCACCGTGCTGCCAAAGTAGTAATAAACTATATTTAGATAAACTGCCTTTCGTTTGACTTTACTGCCAGAATAATTAAAAAAGTTTAATACAAAATAGCTTAAAGGTCATTGGTAATTTCAAGTTATAAGTTTAAAAAAGATACCAATGACAAAAAGTAGATTTGAAAAATCAAAGGCAACACTTTAAGCCATTTAAATGATTCATAATTAGAACTACCAAGTCTACCAAAATATATTTGAACATTCAATATTCAATCTTGCTGCCTCAATTTGAGGTTTATTTTATGAAATAAATCTAAAGATACATCTGAAAATGTCACTCAATGCCATTTTCACAGATGGAATCAAATTAAGCTGCTCGAGTGAAACATTTTTACGCATGACTGACCCTTGCCTTCTCAAGTAAATGGGTTTTTCCTCAAATAGCCCTGCTCTCTAAGGTGAGATGTGAAGTAATAATCAGTATCACACTTTGCATCATAATGATAATCAGTCTGCCCTTGCCT